GCCTCCGCCTCCGCCTCGGCCTCCCGCCCCTCTCGGGCGCACGTCCCGCGAGCTGCCCCGTCCGCCCGCCTCCTCCCGGGAGGCGCCGTCACGTGCGCGGTGCCCGGGCTGCCCATTGCGCGGATGGGGCAGAAAGGAGCCCTGCGCTGACTGTCCGAGGACCCCTAATGCCGCCTGGAGGGCAGACCCTCGGCTTCTGCGACTTTAAGCAGTCAGGAAGCCGGCACCTGCTGGGACCCCCGTCCTCCGGGCCGAACCCCACCGCCTAGTTGGCAAAAGCCATGTTAGCGATGCCGAGATCGACCCCGTAGCGATGGCTGCGGTTCCACAAGGGCAGTTGGAGATGTTAGGAGGCGCACGGGCCGTTAGGGGTGAAACAGGGTATTTGGAACTTAGACGTGTGATGTTTTCGATTTTGTAACTGCGCCCTGCCCCACTCGATACCTTTCGGTTTGGGAAACATGTTTACGGAATTCCACTCCTCAACAAATAAACACAAAAACATGTATTTCGTAAAATGGCAACTTTCGGGCCAGCAGGTGGCATGGTGGTTGGGGCACTGGACTCCCACCTGGTAGCTTGCTTTCTCACTTTCCCTTTTCTCTCTCTCTGGTCAAATTAAAAATAATAGTAATAATAAACAACTAAATGTTTTAAAATTTGTAAAATAAAAAGGTAACTTTTCTCTTGTTAATAGCATTGATATTATTTTGTTAGAGGTTTTTGTTATAGGGTGTTTGAGCTTGCCAGAAAGAGAGACAGAAAGTGAGAAATCACCCCCCTGGGGGGCAGATGGCCACGCTGCAGTCCCTTCTCTGCTCTCCCCTTGGGATCTTGGGCACGCACGCCCACGCACCCGACGTGAGTTTAAGCCACCGGGTCTGGGACTCAAACCGTAGTTGACTACTTGGGAGTCCAGCTACATAGCCATTCTGCCAACTGCTGGTCCTGATATTATTATTTTTAAATTTCCATTTATTCATGTTTTAAATTTGACCAGAGAGAGAGACAGTGAGAGAGAGAAGGAAAGTGAGAAAGCAAGCCACCAGGTCTGGGACTCAAACCGCGGTAGGCCATGTGGGAGTGTCCAGCGCTTTAACCACCACACCACCTGCTGGTCCCTACGTTGATACTGTTCTGAACTGGACCCCTCATCCTCCCAACCCAGTTCCTCAGGTGGATTCTTCCCAGGGCTTGGGCTCTGATGAAAGCTATCCCAACTCCATGCAAGACTGGCAGAGAAATGACAGACCAGAGACAGTGGTGAACACCGCCTCTGTGAACGTCTTGAGTACTGAGAACTTAAACGCCATAGCTAGGGATTCATGGGAATGAATAGGAGACGCCTGTCTTCGGAGGTATATTTAGAGAGTCATTATTTCAGATTTAAGTGTTCTGGTGGTTTAGGGTCTGTTGGTGGTGTACTGGTTAGGCTGCCTGGGTCCCTGATGACTGCACAGTTCAAGTCTCGGACACAGTGTGAGAAAATACACCAGGTGCATGTGTGCAAGGACCCAAAATCCCAAGAGAAGGGCTTGTGGGGTGGCAATGCTCCCTGGGGTGCTTTCTCACTTCCTCTGCCTCTCTGGCAAGCACATTTGCCCTGTAGCAACTTTGACAAATAAAAGGTTTGAGGATTTCATTCTAAACGTTGTTCAGTTTTGTTTAATTTTAAATGACAGTTTTAGGAGTCAGCAGGTGGCGTGGTGGTTAAATGCACTGGACTCCTGCAGGGCCACCTGTAGTTTGAGTCCCGGACCTGGCAGTTGGCTTTCTCACTTACCCTCTCTCTGTCTGTCTCTCTCTGGTCAAATTAAAATGATGGTAATATTGATAAATAAAATTAAATAGAGTAATTCTTTGAAATAATGACAGTTTTGGGGACCAGCAGATGGCGTAATGGTTACGGCACCAGACTCCCATGTAGTTATCCGTCATTCCAGTCCTGGACCCAGTGGCTTAAAACCCGTGCCAGGCGAGTGTGGAGAGTGGAGGAGAGGAGAGTGGGGGAGAAGGGATTGTGGTATGGCCAACCACCCCTCACCCCCAGGGGTATGATTTCTCACTTTCAAGTCTGTCTCTCTGGCAAGCCCATGTGCCCTATAGCAAAAGCCTCTCTTAAAAGAAAAACAACTGTTTTATCATGTGCTTTCTCTAAGCAGTTGTTCCTACACCGTTTACGGGCTGATGTCTTCTGAGTACACGGGTGGTCTGAAGACCCAGCCCTGATTTGTTAGATAAATTCTGTTAGGTGGAAGAGTGTGGCATGCTAACATTTTCTGAGTATTCTGTTCAGCAAAGAAAGGTGCTTGAGGGTCTTCAGAAGTTCACGGAAAATGCATATTATGTAAAACTAAGGATTTCAAAATATTTTGCACCAAAATAAACTTACTATAATTTAAATTTTCTACAAACTTCTTGAAGTCCCCTTATATGTTAGCTGTTTTATCAAATATAAAGTAAGACAAGCCAACATTAGTCTTTTTCTTTTTTTTTCTTTATGGCACATGGGCTCTCTGGAGAGAGAGAAAAAATGAAAAAGCATCCCCCCCAGGAAAGACAACCGCCCTCAATCCCTCAATCCCTTCTCTTCCATTTCTCTCTCGGGATTTTGGGCACAAAAATGCACACCTAAGCATTCTGCATTTTTTTTTTTTTTTTGGGAGAGGTTTTCGCTATAGGGCGCGTGCACTCGCCAGGCAGAGAGAGAGAGACATAGAGACAGAAAGCGAGAAATCATCCCCAGGGGGGAAAAAAAAATCCCTTCTCCTCCATTCTCCTCTCGGGATCTTGGGCACGCACGCACACACGCCCAGTGTGAGTTTTAAGCCACCGGGTCCGGGACGCGAACCGCGGTCGACTACGTGGGAGTCCAGCCACATAGCCATTACGCTCACTGCTGGTTCCCAGCATTCTGCATTTTCCAGGCCACCTGGATCTGGAACTTGAGCCATGCCATCAGCCATGTGGGCCCAGCTGCTTTAACCACCACACAGCCTGGCCAGTTCAACAGCGCTGTTCTTTCTTTTTAAAAAATAATTTATTTTTATTTTTTTAAAAAAATTTTATTTAATATAATTACTTTTTCTTTTGGAGAGGTTTTTTTTTTTCGCGTGTACTTGCCAGACAGACAGAGAGAGAATCAGAGAGACAAAGACAGAAAGTGAGAAGTCAGTTCCCAGGGGCGATGGCCACGCTGCAATCCCTTCTCCATTCTCCTCTCGGGATCTTGGGCATGCACACAAATGCGCCCGGCGTGAGTTGTAAGCCACCAGGTCCGGGACGTGAACGTCAGTTGACTACATGGGGTCCAGCAACATAGCCATTACACTAACTGCTGGTCCCTTTAATATAATTATTTTTTAATTTGACCAGAGAGAGATAGAGAGAGAGAGAGGGAAAGTGAGAAAGCAAGCTGCCAGGTCCAGGACTTGAAGCATGGTTGGCCATGTGGGAGTCTAGCACCCCAACCACCTTGCCACCTGCCAGCCCATATTGTTATTTTTAAATTTGCCACAGGGCGCATGCACTCACAGAGAGAAACAGAGAGAGAGAGAAAGAGAGGAAAAGTGAGAAAGCAAGCCACTAGGTCCAGGACTCGAACCATAGCCAGCCATGTGGGAGTCTAGCACTTTTTTTCCTTTTGAGAGAGAGATTTTTGCTATATGGCACGTGCGCTTACCTGAGAGGGAAGAGAGAAGAAAACTAGAAATCCCCCCTGGGGGATGGCCACACCGCATCCCTTTTTCTCCCTTCTCCTCTTAGGATTTTGGGCATCTGTTCATATGTGCCTGGTTTGAGTTTTAGGCCACTGGGACTTGAACCACGGTCGACTATGTGGGAGTCCCCAATGTAACCATTACACCATCTGTTGGTCCCAGGAGTCTAGCACCTTAACCACTACACCACCTGCTGGCCCACTGGACAGTGCTGTGCTTCAGAAGCAAACTAGCAATAGAAATTAAAACAACTCTTGTAGACTCCCACATGGCCGACCACAGTTCGAATCCTGGACCTGGCGGCTTGCTTTCTTACTTTCCCTCTCCTCTTCTCTCACTCTGTCCCTCTCTGGTAAAATAAAAATAAACAAACAAACAAACAAAGTTAAATAAAAAATAGTTCTTTTGTTTGTGT